CTCTCTCTCTCTCGCGGCGCGGCTCCGCTGCTCTCTCTCCCTCAGTGCCGAGGCCGGGGCGATTGCAGACGCAGGCAGTTTTGTGCTGAGGAGTTCTAGATCAGAGGGATTTCTGCAATGCAGGTTGAAGCCAGTAGTGAAGTCATCCCCTCAGGGGAGCTGTGTATCGGATGCCACACATGCACAAATATATATTTACTTTTACTTAAGCGTAGATGGGGGGGGGGGCTCCAGATTCTACTTGGACACTTGGATCCAGTGCAATTGAAAGTTTGTCGCTAAAACAAATGGATCTGTCAGGATCTGTCGCTCAAATTCATGACAATGTGCAAGACTGTCTAGAATAGTGCGACACGTCAGATATATAAAAAAAACCCAGCAGTTGTGTTTTTTTTCTGGATTTACAGTGTTCAAACTTACTCCCAGCCCAGTAATCAGTATTCTGTGGGTCCTGCTCTGACCTTGAGAACGTAGAGAAGGTGCTTATTGTTGACTTTCAGTAGGTGTGAGCACTTCCCAGGAGGGATTTCTGACCCTTCCTTCTGGCAGACCTTGTCTAGCCCTTTCAGATCAGGTGGCGTTGGTGGGCAGCTGTGGTTCATTCTGTGGACAGGAAGTGGACAAAAACAAAACAAGCTGTTAATGGCGCAAATAAGCTCCCAGCATGCTTAGGGTCGTGTATTAAAATGGTGGACGGGAAAGGTTGCCGATAGTTATGGCTGAAAGAGAGGACACCAGTGACTCCGAAAGATGGATGATTACTGGGTCGCATTTGACAGGAGCTGCAGAGCTGAAGATGGCTCAACCTGCTGGTGTTTCATGAACACTGGGCTGTAAGGTGAGGGCAGCATGGGAGACACGGTTTTCCCACCTCCATCAACCGGCCAGGTGTTGTTTGACTTTCTTGTGGAAGAATGGTGCCGCATCCCTCCTGCAGAACTCCAGACGCTGGGAGACTCTGTGCGATAGCACATATAGGCCAAACTGGCCCCATGTGGTGTCTGAGCACCCTGTTAAATGACTTTACATTAACAATTCTATTTTTTGTCCTGTAAATGCTTAATTTCTAATTAATGGCAGATGTATATATCAATATCCCTCTTTTTCTGCTTCTCTGTGGCATCTTAAAATACAATTTCTGTATTTGCCAAATTGTTATAATGAGGAGAAAAGAGCCATTTAGCAGCTTCATTTGTTATCTGAAGCAAAAAGTTTTCAGCAAAGCAATTAAAGTGCAATTCAAATTATCCAGTGTCTGGACAGGTGTTTTCACGCTGTAAATGCAAAACTGCGTTCC